TTGAAGGAACAAAGGAACTACAGGGAGGAAGTAGGATAACTGTTGTTGCATGGAAGGGACTGCAAACTTTGAAATGAAACAATGGATGATATGTTGAATGCAAAATGATCTTCTCTGTAAGCCTTCACTCAATTTACAATAAGAGATTAAAAAACGAGAGAAAGAAGTATAGCCCTATTGGTATGACACATCACTGATACTGAATTCCAGAAATAAGACCAATATTTCCTCTATAGCTTTTGATACAACTTTTAATATTTCTTTGTTGTTGTTGTTGTTATGTGCCGTGAAGTCGGTTCCGACTCATAGTGACCCTGTACACTGTTTTTGAGGCTGTAAATCTTTACGGGAGCAGAAAGCCTCATCTTTCTCCCACGGAACAGCTGGTAGTTTCGAAATGCTGACCCTGAGGTTCGCAGCCCGATTTGTAACCACTATAAATGCTCTAAAATCAGTTATATAGTTCATTCAATTAGTATTAATTTACATACATGAGTTTAGTCACACCTAAAAGATTTATGATCTTAAGAACTATGCTTTTTGTGTGAAAAATTTTATACACATGCAATAGTAGAGAAAATAGCATAATGAACCATCATATACGTATTGTTATTGTTGTTGTTATGTGCCGTGGAGTCGGTTCTAACTCATAGCAACCCTGTACAGGGTTTCCAAGGCTGTAAATCTTTACCAGTGCAGAAAGCCTCATCTTTCTCCGACGGAACAGCTGGTAGTTTGGAACTGCTGACTGTGAGATTAGAAGCCTGATTTGTAACCCACTACACTACCAGAGCTCATTATAATCAAGATGATAAAATTTTAGAAAATTAGCATCTATAAAGTTAACAGTTACATAACTTGATGAATATAACTGATATCACTAAGTTTTACACCAGAAAAAAGGTGACAAATGTTGTACAGACATACTTTGGAGATACTCCAGATTCATCTCTAGACTAACACAATAAAACAAATATTGCAAAAATCTGAATCTTTTCTTTCCCAGTGCATTTAAAAATTATATTTGCACTATACTATATTCTATTAAGTATGAAATAGCATTATGAAAAAGTTTAAAATATTGTGAGAATTACCAAAATGTGACACAGAAATATGCAGTGAGCACATACTTTTGGAAAAATGGTGCAAACAGAATTGCTCTATGCAGGATTGACACAAACCTTCAATTTGTAAAAGAAAAAAAAAAGCAATATCTGCAAAGTGTAATAAAGTGCAATAAAATTAAATATTATTGCATGTAATTTCGCAAAGGCAACAACAACAAAATAATAAGATACATTTAAATGTTGATACTACTGGCTTCATTTTTTTTTTTTTTTCTTCAAGTTTCTCATTTATCACCCAGTTCACTAAATAGTGCCTGGGGTCTTAAATGCTTGTGTTCGCCACCTAAGCTCTAGTTGACCTATACTCATCTGAAGCAGCAGAGGAAGGAGACCCAGAAACCATGGAAGGAACTAGATTGCAAGTCTAGTTATCTTCGAAAGCTACTGCTCCTTTGCCGTGATACCAGAGGAATTGGATGGTACTACCATTACAAACTCCTGGTGAGGCACTGTGGGTTAATGCGCCAAACTTCAAAGCCGTTAGAACTGCAAAACTAGCGGTTCAAACTCACCAGCTGTTCTTCGGAAACCCTATACATGGTCACTATGGGTTGGAGTCAACTCAATGGCACTTAACAACAACAACCATTATAGAATGTTTTGACCAATAGATGAGTTCTAATCAAGGTGGACAAATGTGGAACAGAATTTCAAATTTCTTTTAGAATCCAGACTTACTGAACCCTTTAAGGCAGAAGGAACCTCTAAATCTCTTGCCCTGAAAAAAATTTCTTAACCTTGAACTAAAACTATCCTCTGAAGTCACTTCAAATGAAACAATAGTTTAGCTGAATTAATTAAGACTGTTCATCTTGAGCATTATGCACTTTTTAAAAAGTATCTATTTCATATCAAATGGCCAGAGTAATACTAAAGCATAGATAAGTAGTTTATGGGGAAGTAGGTCTAAGTTAGTGACGGTGAATTAACAAGGGGAGAGATAGGCAGACTGGTGGTACAATGTGAAGAGTATAATCAATGTTTTTGAACTGTATGCTAAAATTGTTGAATGCATGAATGTTCTGCTGCATATAGTTTCACTGTAATGAATCTGCAGATGTTAACATATCAATTGTGTCCTTCCTATTAAAGATGTGTTGTTTTTGCTATTAAATGCAGTCCAAACCAACCTTGCAGTCCAGTGTTTTATCCTACAGTACAAGCATGGCAATAGTAGTGAGGTTGGCCCAGGATCGGGCAGTGTTTCATTCTGCTGTGCATAAGGTCACTATGAGTCGGTACCAACTTGATGGCACCTAACAACAACAACCATACCAAGACTTCATTAAAGATTAAGGCACACAAAACATTCAGTATTTTTTGACCTGTCTATGTTTACTCGATGGCATTAAACAACAATATTTAACATATAGGAATCCTGGTGAGGTGCTGTAAGATAAGTATTGAACTGCTAACTGCAAGCTTGGTGGTTCAAACCCACCAGGCACTCCATGGAAACCCTATACAGAGTCTCTGTGAGTCAGAACTGACTCTAGGGAATTTAACAATGGCAACATATTTATCATGAACATTGCTTTATTTCAGAAATAATAAAAATCACTATATTTTATGATGATGTGATTTATGTCAGAGTTAATTTGCTAATAAGTTCCTTAGAGCTAACCCCTAAAACCTTAGAAACAGGATCTTCATTCTTGAAAAAGATTTCCTTTATAACAATAATAATTATCCAAATAATAATTTGACACATTGAGAAAGACAGTATGCTTAGTATATCTTGCACATTTGTCTGGGAGAAGAGGAATAAGACAATAAAGAACATAATTAGTCAGTGAAAAAGGAAAGTCAATTTTTTGTGTCTGTCAATAGCATAACTGTTTGGAAACATTTCTTTCAGTTCTCAGTCTATAGGATTTTGTGGAATTTTTAGCACTTATACTTGGAATTAACTGTGAGATAAAGAGTTAAATTATCCTTATTATTAAAGAATTGTTTTACAGAATTAGCTCTGAGATAAAGATCACTCCAATGCACACAAAACTTTCGAGGTATAGTCTACTTCTCCACAGTTCTTCTACACAAGGTACAAACCATTCTTTTAGGAAGACTTCAAAGGAATTACCCATAAACTCAAAAGAAGGAAAAAAATCTGGACAGCTCCTGTTGTGTAAAATAGGAAGTCTGAGAGGTAGGCCCATTAGAATCAATAAAAGTCACAAAGAGAGATAAAGGTAAAGACCTCTGTTATTTAAGTGCATTTATGAATGGGACTTGTAATGCAATCATTGACATTGTATAACTTGTGACTCCATAGAGTAACAGTGCGCTACACACATTCTTCAACAGCTGTATGTTACTTGTCCTAATCTTTCAATTTAATTGATTCTAACAGAACCTATTAAATTCAGCCTGCTTGCATAAGATTATGACAGTCATTAATGAGCTAGATTTTGAAGTGAGTTGAAGAGAAACTGCCTGGTTATGAGAGCTTTTCCCTTTTGTTCCCCTGCTGTTTTTGCAATGGAAACTGGAATACCAATATTGTTAAAACTTCATTAAAAGACCGTGTGCTAACTTTACCCAGGTCTGAATCAAACCAGGTTTAAACCTTGTTGATTACTTGCAGTTACACATAAATCAGTACCTGTCTGATAAAGCTTAAATTGCAAGTTTTTAAATAATGCAATTGACTTTTAATTTTACTTTCTGCTTAAAACAAAAACAAAAACTACAGATTCATCTTAGGAATGAACTCTGAGGTAAACGTATAATAAACATTCATCATTCATTTCCATATGTTCTCCCCCCACCCTTCCCCCCCACCCCGGTCCATTTCTCCATCATGAAAAAAAAAAAAAAAGCAAAAAGCACTTGAGTACATTGTAAAACTTAAATCATACAAATGTCAGGGGGTTTTGCAAGTAAGCTGCTGATATAGCTAAAAATGCTTCATTAACCTTTTTCAGCTCTCTCTCATTTTCCTGTTAGCCACATATAACTCATCATTGCAAATTTTAATATGTTGAATTTTCGTGGAAAGGAGTTTTCCTGCTAAAGAATTTAAATCTGTTATTAAACCAGAGGTTTTGGGGTATACCTTTTACCTTTATAAGAGCATCAGAATCACATTAGAAAGTGGCTACTTAAGAACAAGCCACCTGTAAATCTTAGAAAGATGATTGTTTGAAATTATTTCAAGTTATTCTGCTGCCACATGAACAAGCCTTTACATTGACTATTGCCTGCTGTTTGAAATTTAGGAAAATTTCTATTGTAATTTAGGAAAAATAGTGCCATAGGATAGCACTCCCATTTGTACAGGTTTAGTTAAAACAAATATAAAAACTTCGCGTCTTCCTAAAAAGAAGTTACAATGATGTCCCATTATACTAGTAATACCATTATCAGCTTTTTAAAAAAAGTCATTGACTTACAGTACACTTGAGGATGCCACTTACATAACACTGGTTGCACAGCCTTTATGCCTTGAAAAGGTATGTTCACAACAGCATCAAGAATAAACTTAATGGCAGTGGTGTCTATTTAAAATTATGTATGTATTGACATATGAGACCAAAGAAAGGTCAAACAATCTGACTATGTAAAGAATTTAGTGTTTAGGAAACCATGTTAAATCACTTCAGATGTGTCTAACAAAACTTAAGTGTGGTGCATGCACCACAGAGGACACTAATCGTTGAATCAGAAAGACTATTTTATATGTCTGCAGTGCTCGATATGATTTATCACAATATTCAAAAATGCCACCATATCATATAGTGAAGATCTTCTCTTAGAATCTGACAAAAAGGCAGTAAAATGTGGTTGAGAGCACGTATTCCACACAGTAGTTGCTAGTTGCTCAAAAGAATGGAGTAGAAAATTTATTTTGATTTTCTTTAACTCACTCACTTGTGACCAATCTCGTGTGCAATGGTAAAAGCCGAACCCAGGCCAATGTCTTCATTAATGCTGCAGCTCCTTTCAGGTTCACACATTCCAGCCACAGAGGCCAAGCCTGAATCAACAGAAGGAGACACAAAGGGTCAAGCCAAGGTGTTTCAGACTTTAAAAGCCCATACTTATAAATGCCTGGATTCTTTTTAATAACCTCCATGCACAGAAGGAGCAGTTGGCAAAAGGTTAACTTTCTAGTCATTTGCAAAATCACTGGGGGGAATTTCACTTTGCCGGCTAGACATTAATATTTTTTGAACTGCAGTCAGTGCTGGAAAATGTCTAGACTAGGGGTTAGATTTATAAATTTTACTTCTGGTAACTTGGGACCACCTAGTAACTTGAGCCAGAAGAGGGAATTCAAGAAAGCATTTCTATTTTAACATTCTTCAGGCTGCAGAAAGCAAAATAGATCCACGTTATTTTTCTAAAGAGTTCTGTTTAAGTTTAGTGGGTTCATAAAAATACACAAGCAACTTTTTAGTTACCCCAAAAAAGGGAATCCCAAATGGTTTTTTTTACATTACATTTTATAAAAACAAAAAATGAATAATTCAAAAGACAAAAAGGAGAACTGTAAAAGATGGGAGGCTTTTGCATGTTTTGTTTTGTTTTTCAATCTTCTGAAATTTGTCCTGTAGGTAATGCAAGAATTTCTTTAAGTATTTTAATGGGAGGAAAGTCATTAGCACATTCAATGTAATTATCTTTACTCCTACTCATTTTCAATACATTACAGTTTTCTAATAAAGAAAACCATGGTGCTAATTCGCTGATCGTACTGAAACTTTATGTTATTCAAGGTATACTTCCCTTGGGAATTTTAGTAGGTAGAAGCTTTTACCCACTTCCAAAAGAATATCATGGTCTGTAATTCATTGTATAATTTTTAAATTATGCTTATGAAAAAAAAAATTTATGCAAAAGAAAAATGTCATACTTAATCACACTTAACATGCATAGAGAGTAATAGTCATTTAAAAGATACTGAATAAGAGTAGGAAAAAAACCTTTTATATACTCAAAGTCTACCATCTTGCTTCAAATATTAATAATTAATTCAATTCAATAAGTTTTAATTAAGTACAATAAGCAATATTCTGTACTAGATACAATTTTTCAGTTGTACTACTTTGGAACAATAAAAACTACTCAATTCAAATTTTTAATGCCAAGAAAACTCTAGAAATTGTTGTTGCCGATTCCCCTCACCTCTGTATCATCTAATATAAAATACTGACATATTAACAACATTTGAACAGAGGTAAGGTTAGTGTTGGATTTGCTAATGAACTGTTTTCTTCTTTTCCTGTTTTGGAGGTGGGAGGGTGGGAAGGTGTGAAATAGATGAGGGTGTGATTTCTGCCTCATAGCTGTTATAAATACAGATGATATCCTTGTACCACTGTTCCATTCACTTAGAGGTCTTGTGACATGAAGAAAAGAAAGTAAAAAGAGGGACTAGCAAGATGACTCATTTTTTATTATTATTCATTAGAAATGTTGCTGTCATTCTAAACTCAACACACAGAGAGAAGAGAAACAATGATTTTTTAAATTGTGTTATAATATTTTTCTTTATCTGACTTTAAGCCATTGGAGTTCAATATAGCCCATCAGATGAGAAGAGTAAAGCCATGTTGCTTGAACACCCTTTCTGTTTTGAAATGTGGCAAAAACAGAATTACTGAGTGATTGTTGTAAAATTAATATTTTTCATACGTATATAAAATTACTAGCTCTATTAATAGAATAATGTAAGAAAGAACATATTAGGGAAATAACTATTACTTGTTAAAAATATAAAGGTAAATCTTAGCTAACATGTTATTGTCAATTAAGTGCCCTTGTATCAATTACAACTCATTGCTACACAGTATAGGGTTTCCCGGGAATGGCTGGTGAGTTTGAACCACTGACCTGTGGTTCAAACTGACTTTGAGGGCCTAGCTTATCCTACAGCGCCACACCAGGACTCCAGCTAACATAAAAAGAATATTTTAAATATTAATATATTTTCATAATCTTCCACCATTTTCTGTTTTGCTATAAAACTGAAGGTGTCAAAGTTCTTATGTATGATTGTGTTAATAAATGTTGATTACTATTCAGTCATTTAGATTTCCTTGCAGTTTGCACCCTTCAACCCACTCAGTCATGTTATAATTGGCATTAGCGGTACTAACCAAGAATCTGTATAAAATCCAACATTACTGTTGCCAGAAAGGACACTCAAAATATAATAATGTGATAAATGCTAAACTTTATACTTTTTTACATAGGTAAGTTTAGGTGGTTGTTGTTAAGCGCTGTGAGTCCATTTGGACTCATAGCGACCCTGTATAGAGTTTGCAAAGAGTAACTAGAAGATTTGAACCATTAGCCTTGTGGTTAGCAGTCCAGTGCTTATCCTGCAGCGCCACATCAGGACTCCGGTCAGTATATATATACACATATAAATGTATATATATATTTATGGTCAGTCCTGGTGTGATGCTGTAAGTCAATGCGCTGGACTGCAGTTCAAGCTCATCAGCCGCTCCTCGGAAACACTACACAGATTGCTATGAGTCGGAACTGACCCCACGGCATTTAACAACAAAAACAAATATTTATACGTATGTGCGTGTGTGTGT